CACGCTCATGCCATATCAATTCCTCAACAGCGACTATTTCTATAGTCAGTCAAAAAATTCCGTCGCGCCTGGAGACGATAAGCGACATTTGTGATTGCATATGTGTGCACATACGCCCTGCATGTTCCACTAAGAGAGTTGGAAGTATTGATAGAGACAGTATTGATTGACAGAAGTATTGATAGAGAGACGTTTACCAGGCTTTGCAGCAAAAGCCATCCTCACAAGGTAGATAAGCAACTTTTGACAATTTGTAGAATCAATCGTAACTCGTGTGCATACATCATTTGTTTGTTTTCCTGTCGAGCTTGACGAATCCACTTACTGGACTATCGTGCAGCGTTTCGAAAGTGACTGGAGATTAAATTTTCGTCTGGCCCAATGGTTCGCTGGAAGGCTGATTGAGCTTTATGACAGATGGAGAACCAGTCACCAAGCTTTCCTAGTGACAGATCGAATCTCTGTCAACTGAAAGAGTTTATTTTTTATTGCGGGTTAGCAAGTGTTGAATCCGGTGTTCATCCGCACCTTTTGGTGGCCTCTTTATTTTCCTCTCTCACCCAGTAAGTGTGTTGTGTAGTGCCTTGTTTGTGTGATCTACATAGACCCTGGCGCAGCGCACACAAATTCGTCCTGGTGATAGCTGCTTGTTTAGTGTTGCAACGTTCGCAAATAGTTACTGGATAACGGACGGAAGTTCACAGACCACCTTAACAAAGGACAACACATTTTGCATTCCAGCGTGCACAAATTTCTTCTGATCCTGGCACGAAAATTCTCCCATTTTTTACCTTTCACGAAGTGCAATCCGCTTCACTTGTGGTTTCAGTGGATTTTGAGGGACCAGGACCGTAATCACCTCCCGTTCATATAATGCTGAGTGAACAAGTGGGTTAAATTTGCCAGTGAGCTCACTATTTTCTGTTTCTTTTTCAGTGAAGTCGAGCAACAACACTGAATTTTATGAATATCTGATTGATTATCCGCTACCATCCACTACTTTGGGTCCTTCAGTGTTTATCTGTCCTAATACTTAATCTGGCTTGCGTGAGCGCCCATAAATATACCCATCAGTCTGACTGACTCATCCTTTGTTCCCAAACAAACCAGCTGATATAGTTGACTCATACTAAAGATCAACCTGCATGCGAGATCACTCACCAAAAAGGGTCCCTCTTGATTGGTCATTTGTGGTCCATTTTAATGTGCACTGACAGTATCTCCTTGACTGTGGAAGAAGTATTTTCAAGACAACTGCCAAGCTCGGACATCAGAGAAACCACCAACAGACAAGCCACGTATTCCGAGGTGTTGGAGGTATCCGTACTCAATGTGGTGTTTGCGCCCAAAAAGACCGAAGTGTGGCGCTCAAAGTACCAAGATGTGTATTGCATATACTTACAGTTGTGGCTTTCAGTGTGCGTTTGGGAATTGTGCGCTTCATCAATGAGATAACAACTATGGTTAAAAAGTGTCAGAAATCAAATAGTCCTGTGCCGCAGCATACCGCAGCAGTACCGTATCCTTATTTCCACTAGGAAGTCTTTAAGTTATTGCTGGTTCATTGTAAATGGGATCACAATTCTGTATTGGTGATTGCATTGTGGATGTCCGCAACATAATCGACGATGTAACAAAGAACAACGAGCTCATGAATTTGGTTCATTCGATGTTTTCGTTCCGAATTACCAGCGATCGAGTCGAGGAAAGGTTCAAAACCTTCTAAGACTAGAAAGGTTTCGGCCGAGCGTATTAATTATTTGCATTCAAGACTAATTTACAAGCCAGTTACCAAGACACTAGGAAGGCTGACATCAGAAGGCTTATAGAACTTTTACTTCTCACCTCAAGTACAGTTCCTGGCGAGACGCTAATTTCTTTTGGTTTCGAGCCAACGTGTCTGACGGTTGCGTAATATAGCCTGTGGGAGGTCAATGCCGGAAGCTTTGTCAAATGAAATTCAAACGCTTCAAGAGAAATACAATGTGTCAAGATCTAAATAGCGTGAGAATTAATTTTTAAAAATAGATTGAAAAATTTAGATACCAGATCACTGCTACTTCCAAATCATCATCCTCGTTCCATTTCTTCTCCAGTTAATCAGATCATCTTTCACCTAAAGCCCTACCATCAGTAAGTTCACCTCACTTCAAGGTAAGTTTCAAGCAGTGAGGTATTCAAGCTCATCCAGATGACGTATATTCAGTACCTTTATCTAGCTGGTATTTGTTTCATTGCTGTAAACATTGCAAGAGGGTAAGTCATCTGACTGAGCTTGGAGACTACAGCAATCAAAACTTCCATGGCAGTGTCAAGGTGTCCAACAAGCTTCAGCAGAGCATAAGTCCTTGTGTTTCAACAGACAGACGGCATCACCGAGACAGTTTCTGCTCAGTGTACATTGTCTCGGAAATGACAACTCCAACAACTTCCATTATTTGCCGCTGCTAAAACATTTTCAGATGAACCTGCCAACGGATCCATAAATAGTACAAATGCGTGTTAATATATGTAAATGAATAGAAATAACACAAGGTTTTGACTGAATTGGACCCAATTGGATAGAACATTTACGCCAAACCGGTTTGGATTGACAGCACCCTAAAAATTTCACACTCAAAAGACAAAAATGAGATCTTTGGGTAAACCAAATACGGGACTACCGAGATTCTGTACACACGAAGGTTATGGTGAACAAGAGTACACCAGTGAGGATATCGTGGGACACATTTCCTGACGACGGCACTATCCTAATACACCGTCTGATGAAGTTAACCTTTAACCAGCCGAGTATTAGAGTATGAGAGTAGTTTTAAGTTATCCATTTGTTGAGCATATCGAAACGTAGGTTTGATCAAACTCAAAGTGAGTGAAATGCAATTCAATCCTACTGAAACCGCTCAGAACATGGGGCTTCAGAAAAGGCTTTGCCGACGGCGCTATCGTCAGCTTATTTCCTCACGATGCCTGAGTACGGAGTCTGTGTAAACTGTTGAAAGAAAACGTGATCACACAGTCGTGATTTAACTTCTGCCGTCACTCACTAGATACTTCTTAGATTCAGTGAAAAGTTGCGAAAACGTGGCAGAATAAGCCCATGCATGTTAGTCCGTTGAAGCCTTTCAAAGGGCAACGCTTAACCAAGTGGACCAAGGGCATTGAAGAGTCTATGGAGCAAACGTACATTTAATCATCAATCGCTTTAATCAAAGCCCAATGTTTGCATACTAATGACCAATAAAAACTGCTCGACTCTCAGAAATAATGTAGAGTACATTCTAAGTCACTACTCACCTGCGTCCGGATTTTTCCACCTCTTCGCAAAACTTTTGGGTCTTTGCTTCGTCAATTGGTATTTCGGTTTGCGCAGCTGCGTGGCAAGTCAACGGTAAAAACAGTGAGCTTTCAGCTGTAGCGAATTCTGTTAGCGCCGAATAAACAAACCCATCTACCAAAAATAGCTGAAATCCGATTTATGGAGGGTCACGACTAGTCAGTAAGTCAAAGTGTGGATACTGGGCTTGATGCGGACCCAGTTTAAGCATAGTTGCACATTTTCAGTGAAAGGACAGATTCCACTGCGCTTACTGCCACGTTTCTCGTTATGCTATGATTTCTATTTTTAATCGGATACTGCTCACTTTCACTCATTTGCAAACTAATTTGGTTCTCTAGAGAGACTCACCTGGAACCCAGCTGAATCTCTCGTTTATGATATTCTCAAATTAGTTTGCAAATGAGTGTATATTCGCTAATTTCGTGCTATTTGGTTTCAGGTAGAACACAAGTTTGACGGAAACCCGGGGAGTGCGCCTACCTGATGTGCCCCAAAAAGGGCGAAACCGTTCGTGGAGTGTCGGCGGATTTTCCGCAATCTTATGGGTAGTGCACTACAAATACATGTTGTTCACTTATGTTTGGTTGTTGGGCAGTTGAATTTACAGTGGTCACCACTGAGGACGGCCATACTTGGGACCGGATGCCTCTTGCAGGTATTCGTCGTTCAGACCGTGAAAGTACCATTCTGCAAGAGAGCTTCTCGCTCGATTCAGTAATATGCTCTCGGAATAATAACTCACGGTCTATTTGTTGTCAACAAAATATAAAAAGAAAGCTGTATCAAGCATTAATTTTTATCAAGCCAAAAATACAGCAGCAGACATGTCGACTGGCTTGGTCGGTTCCGCTACAGGATTACCCCAGGTATTAGGGCAAATGTCACTGTACCTGTTTTTGATTAGATCATTTGTTTCCCACATTATTGCAACAACAGAAAACAAGTTTCCTGCGTATGGCCGATTTACCGTTAGCACCAAGTGGAAATATTTTATTGGTTCCTTTCTAGGGTTATGACGGTTTTCAGTGAAGACGGGATGAACGAACAATTGTATCACTCTCCTGAATGCGCTCTCACAATCTAACCCGTTTATCAATAGGGTGTGATAAGAGAAAGCATTGCTAAACTCAGAAATTGCTATCTAGGTCTATCTTCTTTCTGAAGGTCCATTAAGCGGTTTTACGGCTTATCTGGAAGTGTAAAATACAGTCGACGAACCTCAGAGGCTTCAATAACATGCGGACGACGTACCAGGCACGGTAATTTCAAATATATTTGAGCATAGACCTGTCTGTCGTTGATTTGTCATTTGTTGTGCAGTACCAATACTATGAGCAGGAAATACACACCTTACTGCGAATCGGCCAACGGTCAACTTAGCTTGTCAAAGACCCGGTTTGTAAGCCATTGCAAAGAGATACACCTGAATAATTACCTTAAATCAAAGCCTCGTTTTCGTTCGGATTTCAATCAAACATAGCCATATCTTCTTCTGCTTCTGATTCAAGAATAGTTTACTCAGTTTGGATGATAACACTATCCGGAAATTAATTTATTCCTGTCATCTGAGCGCTTTTCTTACAACACAGTCTGGTGGGGACGTCACGAAGGACGTTTCGTCGCTACTTAATTTTGATGAATTCGGTTAAAAGACTCATGAGAAAGACACACACGTAACCCGCTATGGTTCAGTCCGGTGTATGTACAGGTAGTGGGTAAGAGCAAAATTCGGATAATTGTCTCTCGGATATCTTCATTATAAACTCCTGAATATCTAAAAGTAGGCAAAGTATAAATACCACCAAAAGACAGAGATTAACGTAATTGCTCGGATGAGCCTTGTATAGCTGAGGAAAAAACATTCGCATTTCGTGTTTGCTTGAACTCCAGCTGGTTGGCTATTCTTATGCTCAATTCCAACAGGTTCACTTGGGATGAGTGAGGTGCATATTGATTAAGGTGACTCGGAAGGACGCAATATTTAATTTTATCGGATTTTTGAAAGGGTGAACTGACGAGAACTTGAAGAGAACTCCAAGTTGACTGAATGGTTATTAGTGAACATCTTTCACTTGTTTCTGGCTACTTTACGCTCACCTTGTTTTATGTTCGTGGCTATAACAACCGATCCTGAACTAGGCTTTCGAGTGACTTGGCCTAGCGTGGAACTCTGCGATGGAGACAAGACAATAATATGAGGAACGAATAAGAGACCATTCTACACAGGTGAAGTGAAACTACACGAGAATTCAAGGATATACTTTATTGAGACAAACGAATAAACAGACTCATAGTGACGGAAACCCAAGAAAACAGTAGGAATGTATATTTACTCTCTGAAAAAATTGTCTTAGAGGATTTTTTTCCTTTTCTAATGACTCATGCTGCAATGATGACTTCGTCCTGTCAGTGAATCCACTCTATACCGAACAGTCGGGAATCACTATACAGCTGTTCGGAAATTATTGGTAGTCATCAGTAGTGCACGGCTCACAGGTTTTTAGAGGTACGCGAACTCGCAACAGTAGTCAGAAACTAAGACGTTTGTCCTGAGCTGCCGGTAAGCAGTATGAGTGACTATCACTTTGACAGGATATAGCGCTACTCACCCTTTGAAGCGGAATTCATATCACGTGGTTGCATGTTGATTGGTTCCGCGAATCGCAACTTCAAAGATGGAAGGCTTACGAAATCTGCGAAGCATTCCTCCCCCTTGAGCTACCCATACTTTATTGGTGATGCATGGAGATGACGACGCCCAACAAGAATGAAAAACTGCGCATTGTTTCATGGTCTTTGGGCGTAGATTGGCCTCACTTACATGTGGAATTCCAGAACCTCTTGTTTTACAAACTGACTGACATTTTGTTAGTTCTTCCTCTGAGAAGGGATATACTCCCCAATCGGGAGCTTTTGCTCAAAGACTTCAACTAACCTCTCTAGAAGAGTGGAACTCAAAAATGGTTTCTGGACTAAACACGACATGTGATGAGATTCCATTATATACTGAGTAAAATCAACCGCTACGGGAGCACAAGCCTGCGAGCGAGCCTTAAACAGGCTTAGTGATAAAACTGGTTCGACCATTTATCAATATATTAGGGGATGTTTGTTGCATGAAAATTGTCGCGTTTGGCATAGGACACATTTAATTCTTTTGACCGACAATGAGACCAGCCACGTTAAATACCTGAGCTTCTACAAATGCCAGTTCAGTGGACTGACACTTCATGGGTGACTTTAGAAATTTCATTTGTGGAAGGACTGTCGAACATATAGGGTTTTGGTGGTCGATTTATATTAGACATAGCTAAGATATTCGCTTCCGTCCATATATTTCGGAAAGGTGTGCCTTGAGGTCTCTGTTGGATTAGTTCTGCTCGTTGCTTTCTCTTCATTTACCCGTTTCAAATAAACGGACCACCCGGAGACGAAGTGACCCACTGAACACCTGAAAGGACTGATTCCTGTTCCTTTCCAGAGGAATGTTTTAGGTATTCAGTTTATCTCACAACGACCACCGATGCCTTCCAGTTAGGCTTCTGAGCCAAATGGTTTGGTTCAGCAACCGCATTTTTTCTTGTCTAGGTTTACGTACCATAATAGTAGCGCAATCCGAATGACACCGTGAATTTTACGGGTCAGCTTAAATCGATCGTTTGAGCATGTAACGTCTCCTCTATTCAGATGGTACAGCCGGCAAACTCGTGTTGACACTGACAATATTGCCTCAGCCTAATGGTAATAGCTTTCAAGGTGACGTCTGGCATTGTCCTGAGAAGGTTGATTCATAATCAACAGAGTCACATTTCGGAGCATCCTATGGGTCTTGTCCTGGCCAGAGTTTCACTTTACGACAAGGAGTGGATCTGCACCATTCGTTCCGACGACCAGGAACGATAGGCTTTCTCGACCTCAAGTGCGCTATTGATTGGTTGATCGTTATAGATCATGGCAGTGTCTGGTAAGAAGGGTGTATCTTCTAGCTTCTAGTCCGTCAAAAGTGTACTGTATGCCTGTCGCCTTGGACAAGTCTGTGTATACGGTAAACTCTCTCCTGAGTTCACCATGTCCATTGGTGTCAGGTAATGATGCCCTCCGTCGCCCTCTTGCTTAAACTTGCAACTGATGTGCTGGGATCACGACAATATACAGTTTAAACTTTCAGTAGCTGCTTTTCATCTTCCCCCAGTCGACGAAGCATGGTTTCACATTATCATTGTGACCATTGCTGATAGTTAACGCATGGCACTCTACATTTAATTTCAAAGTGACTAATGTTCTATACATTATCTTGACAAATCAAATGCTGTTTTCAAAAGAGAAATTTATCTGTTTAAAAAGATCTGGAAACCCTTTAGGTAATGGATGACTGGGACTTGTGCCATCGGTACTGAGAAAGCCTAACGCTCGGAGAACCATGGTTTCACGTTCAGTATATGCGGTGTAGTATACGGAATCGTAAAATTGTTGTGATGGGGCTTACTGGTCTGTATTGCCCACTCTTCACCTGTGAAGGACAATTCTAATACAACCAAACTCGCTTGGTAGTGACGGACTGTATTGCTTATGGCTAATCAGTCATCAACAGGTACATCTGTCTTTATTGCACATTGCTATCGCATGTCACACAACGGGTTCGATGATGATCTCAACGACGGTGTGACCAGGAGCATGGATTACCCGTTGTTAGCTTTCGAGCACTCTAAACTGTGCAACAATCAACAGCACACGTTGTAACAATCGAATTTCAGGATATGGAGCTTTTTTGTTTCTTTGCATAGCAAGGTATACAGAGAAATTTCGTTGAATTTACGTTTCATCAAATAAATATGGATCTGTTGTGTATGGTGTTATTATGGGCTCCCCTCACCGAGCCACTTTGATGGCGGTAAGAAACTCTGTAACTACGGGTGAGCACCAGCGACGATACGGCACTGCAGCGCGGGATGACACAAGCAAAACAGTGGTGGTCATGTTTTGGTGGGAAGTCGTATAACAAGCGTCACCCTGTCCTTTGAGTAACTTGGTGATAAGTGGACTCGCATTCCGGCTCCTTCTACTTGACAAATAATGACCACAAATCGTCACGTACTAACAAACGCTACGCGAATGTAGCGCAAAACTTCATTACATTGCCCAAAAAACAATAGACCACAGCAACACAATCTAATAAGATACATAGAAATCAGTAATCTTGGGGCCATTTGGTTTGAGAAAGCACACCCAACGTCATCCTTTGTTGATTCATATCCACATAGACTCATATAATTGGGTAAAGATGAATTTTAAAAGCGTGGGATTGGTTTATACACTTCAAAAAGTGTTAAAATCTGAGAAACAATCCAACTAGATCAGAATGTATTCAATTTGGTAATCAGTCCTTACGGGTTGTCCGTGGTGCGGCTGGTGTTGCGGAGGCGAGTCTTGTAGTGGCGCATCAAAGTTTGGAATGTAGCTCTCTTTCTGGTTTGAAATCTGTTCACTGAATTGAAAAATTTGTAAAAAAGTTTATAGATAGGTTTATTTTTAACCAAATTTATTGTGTACATCTTACTGCATCCTCCAAACGAGTAAATTAGAAATCTGATGAAGAGTTCATTAATCTCTACAATTAGGTCGTTATAAAAGTTGCAATTGTGACCAAATGAAATGCAAAATGTAAGCGACTTATACTTAGTTCACTCTTAGCAGCCTGCATCCTCCAAACGAGTAAATTAGAAATTTGATGAAGAGTTCATTAATCTGTATAATTAGGTCGTTATAAAAGTTGCGATTGTGACCAAATGAAACGCAAAGTGTAAGCGACTTATACTTAGTTCACTCTTGGCAGCTTGAGGTAATGCAATGTATTACCTACCTTCGAATTTCTTACCTGGGGGTTGTCCAATTGGGTCCAAGGCTACGCCAAAATTCCTGTCTTTTTGCCCCCAAGCGTTCGGTAATGGCACTGATGGTTTCGGCGTTCAGGTAGGGTTCGGCAACGTTAGCAACCATATTTCGGTCATATTCGGGGACAAATCCACTTCTGCACACTTCATCCAACCATTGTACCGTATTAAACAGTCGAATGAAGAGCTTTTTCGAAGTACGTTCCGGAGTGTACGGACGAATGGCTTCATTTGTGTTAAATGCATATTTCACTTTTCGCACTACGTCGATAAGTTCGTGTGAAGCAGGTGCTGTCGCCACTGACTGATTATGAACATCTATGAAAGGTAAAGTTAGTGACAGAATAGGGGAAGGATACACGAAACATAGCTGGTCAATACCCTCACTTGTTACATTAGTTTCAACCGGTTTTTCGACAGGTCGCGCGGAAACGTTCATTAATTTCGTATGAAACCTACACTGCGGAATCACGCTATAGGTTTGGTTGCATGGCGAGTAACTGATTAGAACTGCTCACCCAAAATGATCAACTGAGTCATAAAGTATAAGTGGCTTATTCTGGAAAACAACCTTTCCTGAAAGGAGCCCAATGTGTGCCGAAGCTTCGGAATAGTAACCAGCAGTTGTACTACTCGAGGGTTGTATCACCTGAGACTCCCCTTCAGAATTAGACGAATTTGGCAGCACTGTTGCGCAGAGACGGGCAAGCTTACAGCAGTAGGAGACAGTTGCCCTTTGTTTGCTTGCGGCGACTTTTCACTTCACTTGCCCTCTTAGTTAATAACACTATTTTAAAAGTCTCCACATAATGCCATCAAATCAGGGCTGCTTTTGGAGACCACCCTCCAAGTGCAATAAAGGCGGTCTTTGTCCATTTTCACTTAAGAGTAAATGTCAAATGAAAATTCCGAAATCACCTCACACTACCAGGCAGCTATAAGTAGCTCAGAGTAAGCACAAATTCACATAAGGAGTGAAACTTATAGCTGAGGCATCATCAATCGACACGTGTGTTCACGTGATGTGAATTCTGTGACTGAAGCGTGAGTGGCACTGTATCCTGTCTAAGCGCGAGTCAACCACACTGCTGATCACCCGCTCATGACTGAGGTCACGGAGGCCGCGTGTTTGACACTCCATGAATTCTCGTGAGATGCGCAAAGTTGATGATTCGCAAAAAGGATGAGACGCCTGTGAAGTGCTTCTTGGCTTATCAGCATATATCGGCCTCACTTATTTAAGGAAAGGAAATCTCCGAATCTCCTTGCACTACCAACTTAGATTGTCATAAACGGATGATGGATGCGGCATTTAAACCGCCTTTCGAATCTGTTTACGCTATGTCTTGTGAGGCCATGTCCGTGACCGGAAGATTTAGTTACCTCTGCGACGCATGAAAAGGAGTAAGAGGGGAATGAAATCCGCACTTATTTACCCCAATTCAGGAGGAAGAAACTGGGCGGACCATCTAGGTTGACAAAAATGTGTGATCATATTGGTTGGCAATAGCATTTGACTCCCGTCGTCTCAAGATTGTTTACATATCTTGCCTGACGTGACACTGCGCCAGCTTATGAAGACGTGAGTGCAGAAATCAAAAAATCCTCGCAGAAAGAGATGTATTGATTCTGTTTTCACAATTTGTCATGTCCCCAACCTTATAGGTGCACTTGTTTCCTTTGGCTGATGCGTCCTTTCCGGAATGCCCATACCACAGGATGTGCATTGCAATTTCAAGAATAACACAATCTGTCTTATTTTGCAGACTTTTAAAATCATGACAGTGCACTGGGACTTCTTATAAGTTTGTCTAGAAGCATATTCGTCCAACAATTTTCTCCACTCCTCATCTTTATTTACTCGTGCAACTGAAGAGACAAACGAGTGGAGGACAATCCAACCCTTGTATCCAACTAGCATGAGGCTTGTCATTCTGAGAGGTGCAGACGAAAGCATTGCCGAAAACACTAATTCATGTCATCCATGTACGGTGTGTGTTATTTCACCCTCTAATATGTCACTGGAAGAAGTATCTGAGCACTTATTTCATATGTTGTATCTGGTATGAAAACCATATGGTGGAAATGGCCTATGGATATCAAAGACCGTAATGGTATTCACTGACTGACGTAGCATGTGGTATCAGAATGACATTGGTAATCTCAGGGGGCACTTGAATCGGTTATTGAAGGTGTTGGCGTGTCAGACGCCAGCGTTTCCACCGCTGATGTATCAAAACTATAGCTGGCGTCAGATGTAATCACTAAATTCGCTGGGATTTGAACAGAGTACGGGTATTCGGTCAACTGACTGGTGCTGCAAAAACTCAGTATACCATGACTCGGGTGTGGCACCCATACGAACTTATCGTTTGTATGACAAGTACCCATAGGAACGCAGAACATGATCTGGTAGAAGAGAAATAATAACGTCATCAAAAAATCATCAGTGCTGTCGGTGCGACTCGGCTTCCAGCATGGGAGCCAATAGACTCTATATATGCCTGGTTGCACGTGTCTGTGGCGTTCCGCAATTATGGTAGGCGAGCTAACCTTGTTTCCTTCGGAAACACACGATTTGTGATGCCACGTAAAACATTGAATTTAGACAACATCGTTAAAGACAGCGAAGGATGCTGCAACAAGTGATCCATCTGGTTCATATCGAAATTCTACGTATTCGTACAGTGCTAGAAATTGGAAACATGGACGCATCTAATTGTAGCGTACCAGAACGTCCATACTAACAGAAATACTGATTGTGGATCAGATCTAGACGGTCACCATTAGTTGAGTGTTGGAGAATGTTTTAGCAAGTAAGGTACGGTTTGTGCAAATATAAATAGTCTTTAGTACGCACCCCCAGAAAAAGCAGATTGTGTTTTGCTGTGAAAATGCTTGTTGAATTGATGTTATTTGTATATACTGGATAGTATTCTCATTGCAGCTGAATAAGCTAATAGTGAATTTCTCCATTTCCCGGTGATATAGTGACTTACATAAACTTTTGACAGGTAAGTTATCTTCTTCTGTTATGTGAATGAAAACCACAAGATATACTTTCTCCCTTCACGATCCGTATTTCGTTTAAGAAATTCGAGATAATTATGGGTTTGTCGAACACAATACAACGCAATTTGGAGCTTGTAACAGACAAATATTGTCATTCCCCATGAAAAAAAAACAGGGAGAATGACCCAGGTAGTATATAATGTGGTGTACTAGAAACGATGTGTCCATCAGAAATGATTCTCAGTATAGTGAAAATAGATCGCAGTATCCAGCAGTCTACAGTACCTTCTAAGCCTTCTCCACAAGAGCATCACATAAAGTCAACAGAGATCCATGCTTGACCATAAATATGCTCCAGTAAAGATCGCTGGAAATCAGGTCAGTATAGTGAAAATAGATCGCAGTATCCAGTAGTCTACAGTACCTCCTAAGCCTTCTCCATAAGAGCATCACATAAAGTCATCAGAGATCCATGCTTGACCATAAATATGCCCCAGTAAAGATCGCTGGAAATCAGGTTGTTTGTTTACGTATCCGGTTCTCGCGACAGCCACGTAAACACGCTTTTTTATCCACCTCACTAATTTGGCTCGTAATATGTGGCTAAGTTTTGCCCAACTCCATTCTCCCAAAGTTGAAAATTAAGCAACTAACAGTAAAGTTTGAGAAAATGAGCTTTTATTGATCTATGATTTTGTTTGCGGAATCCTCAACTTGACATCACTACTAATGTGTAACGGGTGGGGGTGTCTCGCTGACTGTTTACCGTTCATATTAATGGCTATGAATCAGGTGTTGCACATATTAATATACAAATTCCTTCAAACTTCTTTTTATGTGTGCCAGTTCCGATTTCGCCATTAGTCTAGTCACATCCTTTAACCTCAGCTATAGAGTGTCAGACGTTTCTGACGACCGCACAAACCACACAATAGTTTACTCTTCTAGTGCTGGAAAAATTGTTTTAAAGTTTCAACTTTTTGAGAAAGCCATGACGTGCAGTCAAGGTGGAGGCTCCCACAGAGTTGGGTTTCCCGATGTTAGCCTCATATAGTTGGCGCGTTTCACAGTATGTACGGTATTCTCTAAAATTAGGG